CAAATCGTCTTCCGAACAGATATTTCCAAATATTGTCGTTGGGTGCCCCTGGAATAAGACACACGAGGTCTTAACGAGTGATTTCGGCACTATCTAAATGAAAAATTGTCCTTTGCACATTTTCTCACTAAACTTTCTTCACTACGAACGCATAAAATGTTGCAATCTTTTACAGCTTTTAACGACGACTACCGTCGATTGCATCTACCCGTGAACGCACGCGCGCAAAACATGTTTTCACGTGACGTCAAACGTCTGAGTTTCAGGTGTCAAACTTTGAAGTTTTCCCGCCCAAATCTGAAGTTATCCTTCTCGGCACTGCTCAAAGGGAAGATGTTTTCAATCAACAAGAAAGGAAGAAATTATCAAAAAGGTGTCCCACTTTCAAGCGATTTGCGGGAATCAAGTAAACGAACTTGCGCAGGATTATTGTTTTTCAGAAGTTGGGAGAAGATTACGCATCAGCAAGGGTTCAGTTTCAAAAATCGTTAAGCAGTACAACTTGACTGGAAGCACGGCTCCCAAAAAGTTGAATCACGTTCGAACAGTTCCTAAGTGTACTTTCCAAGACTCTATTCTGTTGGAGACCATGGTGCAAGCAAGAGGTTCGTCCTCTCTTAAAGAACTGCGCGATGATTTGGCCATTCACGGTGACTGCGGAGAACTGTCAACATCAACAATTTCCAGAAATATTAGGAACAAACTCCCAAGTGGCCGCAACTATTCCCGAAAAAGATTGGGGAAATGTGCGTCAGAGCGTTTTACTCCAGAAAATATAGTGTACACTCAGTTGTACATTGACTATTTAAAAGACAAAGATCCTTCCTCTGTTAAGTTTTTCGATGAGTCAGGTTTTCAACTGCCTGATGCCGGTCACAGAAACTTTGGTTTCTCACCTGTCGGTGAAGATTGCGTAGAAGCGCGAAGATACTTGTCTACCGCAAACCTCACCCTGAACTTTCTGGTTGGGTATGATGGAGTAAAATATGGAAACACCATAGAAGGAGCGTCGAACTCTGTACAGTTTTTACGATTCTTTGATGAGGCTTCCCAAACAGTTGATCCAATAACGCAAAGACCAATTCTCGAAGTTGGCGACATTGTTGTGGTGGACAATCTAGCCGCGCATCATGGCGAAGCGGAAGGAGCTCTGCGAAGCTTCCTAAATGATTTGGGAATGGAGCTCATTTTCCTCCCAGTGTATTCACCAGATCTGAATCCTGTTGAGGAGGTATTTTCGAAGCTGAAATATTTGTTGAAGTACAGATACCAGGAACTAGTGTGGGATAACCTGGAATACGCAGTGTTGAGAGCGATCGGGGATGTAACAGCGGCCGACATGTACGGCTACTACAAGCATGTAGGATATTTTTTTTGAGAGACAGAACTGTAATTTGGAACAAATACAGTAATATTATTATTGCCATGGACGAGTGAGAAATAGAGTAAAATAATGTAGTCATCTGACCCAGAAATGTTGTTGCCAAAGACTGTACTTAATTGTTTGAAACTCGGCTATAAATCTGTTTGGCCGCTTTTAAAACGGCCAAACTGTGAATTTCATTGAAAATCTTATCGCTGTTTATTGTAGTCGTTGTTAACTTTACGAACCAAAATTAACGGCCTTCGAGTAAGAATCGCGAAAAGCCCAGACTCTCACCTAGCCGGAGAGAAGACCTTCAAGGCTCCCTCGCGCGTGATCTTCTTCTCGGTTCGCGCTTAGCTCCAAGCAGACTATCGTCCTCGCAAACATTTGCATCTCATAAAACTGTTCAGGTTAAATCGTACGAAATGAAGTACTACTGATAATGAACTGCTTTGAATCCAACAAATGCATCCAATTGTCTCTCTGTCGAATGGTACAAGCGACAATTTTTCCAGATAGTCCTAGGTGAAACGGCACTGCTTGATTACAAATTTTTGCTTGAATTGATGCAGCGAAGCGCAAAATGTTTTAAAATATTACATATCAGAGCGCCAAATGTTAGATCTTTCTGCAGGTACCGTCATCACAAAAGAAACAATGGCACCAAACAATAGAGTTCTCCTGAAAGGCTTTATTGTTTGGTTGTATTGCTTCTTTTGTTATACGTTATCGGTGCCTCGGTACCAAAGAAAACAAAACCCTGAACCGGATCCTGGTCATAGTAGTAAAATGACGCCATCATGCTAATGGCCCCTTTGGGTCGTATTCGTTTCCCCGCGTAAAAGAGACCTTCAGGTTTGAAGACGAGGACGACTACGAGTACGAGATTTGACTTCAAGTTTTTTCGCGTATTCTCGAAATATAGACTTCACGGAAAGCTTCATTTTACCATAAAAGTTAGCACTGTTATCTTTAGTGAAGGAGGTTACGCTCTTTCCCGATCCATGACGACGGCTACCACATTTTCCCGCCAAAATGTCGCTGGTTCACGCGAGCACTAAGTAGTATTGAGAAAATCTCGTAGTCGTACTCGTCTTAGAATCTAAAGGTCTCTAGTGATCGAGAATTCATATTTAGCACCTAGCCTCTAGGTTAGCATGCGTGCTTTTTTGTGATTTTTGTTGGTATGTCTACTTCGAAATTTGAATTTAAATTGATTAATGTAAATAATTCTGGCGGGAATTTTAATTGAGGCTTAGTATCATGCCGAATTCACACAAAAGAGTAATGAATTAAGATATAAAATAAATCTATTACTGAAGTCGATCGCCTGTTGAAGTTCTGACTTCCAGTGAGTGGTTTACGGACATGAGAATACAATTATATTTTTGTGGAGTCTGTTCTAACACGTCAAGTTAACACACCGCCTGCTTGCTACCATTAAAACAGGTAAGTTACCCCAAAAGAGCGCTAAAATTATTATTCGCTTGTAATATTTGCCTTACCTAGCTATGAACGATGGTTTAAGATGCCACTTTCAGAATTTCTTAAAATCTTCATTCCTTTATCTATAGGAATCTTTGCAGAGAGAACAGGTTATAGGCTGTTCGGCTCGTTTTCCCTGTAAATAAAGTATCTTCAAACTAAATTTAACCCCGTCAATTTTAAGTCACAGAGCAGTTACTGGACAAACTGAACCAAGTAAAGGTTTTTCGAATGCAACATTTTGATAGTATTCTGTCGACATAAATACGAATTGCGAAAGGAAAGCAAAATTTTTATCAAAATGGAGTAAAGTATTCATACTGCATCGATATATAAAGAAAACATAATTGGCATACGCACACTGGCAAGGTGCAAAAGTAAACAAAGGAAATGTCTTACACCAGTCACTGACCAGTGGCCTACGGTTTCGCAAATGGAAATACCTAATGTATAGTGAAGGTAAACGCGTGACGTGTAGAGTCTGGACATAGGTGGTCACCGAAACGACGTTGAGATTCACATCAACAACAAGGCAGTAAATCACCTTTGGAAACACGAAAAAACCGTCACTTTATTTGAGTCTTAGGCCGGTTCAGACGCCAAACTTTTCATGAGCCGAACCGTAATACATTAAATTAAGCACGTGAAAAGTTCGGCGTCTGAATCAATTAGGAACGCCTGTTTCAATTTGGATCGGCTCAACCGTTCTTTTCGCCTAGCCTGGCCGGAAATTTCGCCTTTGGAGCGACTTTGGAACAGCTTTGATTCAGACGCCGAACTTTTCATGTACCTAACCTAATGCATAAATTATTATAACGCATTTTCTAAGCAGTTTGACCGCAATGGGCATTTTTCTCCCTCTTAATTTAGTTCAGCTGAAATTAAGATCGGCGTCTAAATCAATTTAGCCGGTTCAAATAATTTGGGTCGGTCTTTAAATTCGAATTAGGTTCGGCTCATGAAAAGTACGGCGTCTGAACCGGGCCTTAATGTATTCAGCACGAAAGTACTACTTCAAGACTCTGGTTGTTTAGCTTTTACATACTGGGCAAACAGGTTGGTTCACGGTTTGGGCAAATGGTGAGCAAAATTCAGGAAAGGTGAATTTCGTCGCGGACTCGAGTTTACCATTTGTACAAATCAGTTTCATTTACCGAAAAACGGCTGCGAAGGCGTGAAACTGGTATCAAAGATGGCTTTGAAGTATATGGAACACGAATTTCCGTTTGGAACATTCTGTCCTTAAAAACAGGACTGCCTTTTCAGAAGTACCGTTGCTCCCGGAAAATTTCGAGTGGAACGACCCAAACGGTCTTGTTCCCTTTATTTTGCAACCGGATTTTCCGGAATTTTTTTCTAAATGGTAAACAACCATTTCTCATTTCTTTTGGGGACGAGATCCTCCATGGTCATCCGAGCCGCGCGAAGGTCTAGCCATTTGCAGGGCAAAGGCACTCACTTAATTTCTCAGTTATTTCAAGACCCTGATTACTGGTACGGCCCCGGGAATCGAACCCGCGACCTCCCACTTTTCAGTTAAGTACTCTAATGACTAAGCAAGTCGTCCCCTCGGTCTTTTCTTGGAACAAGACAGAAGTTTATGATAGTTGATAGTAGAGCATTTTTACAAAAGGAAGTTGGTCAGAAGCGATTGTCAAAAAACGTAACGATTTATATGGCCCACACGGGAAATGGAAAAACGTAAAGAAACAAATCGCCTAATCTTAAACTTATTGATGAGAAAAGGAATAAAGTAAACTTACTTATGCAATATTGTGTGTTCTTGGTGTCTTTTTCAAGTGATCTTGGCTGATTTTGCCAGCAGAAGAGGATTTTCTTTTCTCAAGACAGGATCGTAAAACAGAGAGCCGAGATTTCGCCGCTCTCTCGGGTCATACCCGAGAAGAGACTTTTCGGGGCAGGAGCGCGGGTTCGTTTCCCGAACAGCGGCTGGTAATCGAGCCTAAAAACCGACCGCTTCAAAAAGAGAAAGAGAAAATATGACACAAATTAGTTTCCTTTACTGAGTTCCTTTTCTTCATAATAAGCTAGGCTAAGCCAGTAAGACTGATTTTGTATTAAATTTTTACGTTTCCCATAACAGGGTCGTAACATGGTATATCCGGGACCCATTGATCCCTATTTTCTTGCCGTTATTTTGATCCCTGAGCCCCATTTTCTCCAAAATTTTGATTCCTGAGCCCTGATAAAAGAATTGATCACATCCATGTTTTCACACAAAATTTTATCCTGGGCCACTTTGTTTATCTCCAAATATAGAATATAGAACATGCTCAAATGGGCTGATGAGAAAAACATTAACTTTATTTTTAATGCAAGTTGCAGGTTCTATCAGAGATTTCTATTCTGCTACCCCTGTTGATGTTGTAGTCTTATGTGAATTTCCTCTTTCACCCTGTGTGTGTTACAGTAAGGATCACGATCAATTACCAATAGCAAAATACCTGCTTTACATGAAGTAGAAAAATTGAATGATGCAAGGCAGGTTTTACAGTTTAACAGCTTTTCTGTGTCAAGCCCATTAATGGCTTTTCCTGGCTTAATAACCATTGTAGATTGTCGCAGGACATGTCTGGTTGTAGGTCTTCCAGACCTACTCCTTCCAGCGTCAAATTTAATGGCTCTGTTGTCCACCTGACCTTGATCCCCTTCCTCTTCGTCACCACCAGACGCAGGTGAATCATCTGATTCAATTGACCCCTGGAGCAAATGCAACTAGGCGTTGCTCTTCAAGGCAGCTCAAACAGAAGTTTTTTCCATCTTTTATTATTTGAACTTTCCCGATGATACACTTAGGTGAATTTCTATCGTCACGGTGCCCAGTCTGGTATACAAGGGGATCTTCTGACTGTTCCAGCCATCTCAAACCCATGTGATCTTCCAGGAATGCGTCACCGTTATGGTGGAGATCTTTTGAAAGAACTTCAAGGAAGAAAGATTGACATACCTCTTGTAATTGTGCTTGAGACCAACTACGTCGCCTTTTGAATAGATAATCTCATATTCTTCGGCTGCATCTTGTCCTTCACTCCCTTGAACCTCTTTCAGCAGATCGACTTCTCCATATGCCGACGCATCCCTTCTGAACATACTCAGAGAAAGCGGAAGTGTACCAGCTCTTTCTTTGGTCTTCCCTCTCGTTCTTTCCTGTCGTACACCTCGTCCGAATTCTTTCGCAAAGCTCTGCAATGCCTTCCTTTGTCGCTCCTTTCCCTCCGCTCTCGTTTCCTCGTCCACATCCTCCTTAAGGTTTACTCTTGCCGTGCGACTTTCGAAGCCATTCTGGTGCCTTTGGACCAAGCTTTCTCCGTGTGTAATGGCTTTGACGACCGGTATAAAATATAAACAAGGATTGGTGGAGCCTCTCTATTGATTCTAAAAGGTAGCTGGGCCGCCGCGATGCGTAGTCGTTCAGAGCGGGTGTTCTCACTCCACTAAAAAATTCAGGGTCCAAATCTAGGGTGGCCTTTCGGGGACAACCATTACATAATCCGAGACCGAATAGCCCAAGGGTCCCAAAAAATTCTTGTAGATCAATATTGTAACGAAAGTCTGTAAATTTTGTGCAAAACGAAATAGCCACTGCGAATGAGGCCTGAAAAAATCTTGCGTGAAAAAATAACCCATCCCCGGCTCAAAAATCAAATAGTGGGCCCCTTACTGGTGGCCCTTCATGCCGAGTGCTATAATATATTACTACTTTTACCTAGTATGCAACATTCCTTTCACCAATTCAACCGTTTATTTTATTTAAAAAAAAAAACTAAAGAAAATAAACTATAAAGGTTTTGTTACTTTTGTTTCACCGAGGTAAGTCTTTGGTGTTCCATTTATTTTCACTAATTCTACACTGTAATTTGAGACTATTTATCATACAAGCATTATCAGTTATACAGTAATGGAATGTGTCCTTTACTTTCCCGGCCCAGTACTAGTACTGGTAGGTGAACCGATCTCGGTTTCCCATCAGAGTTCGAGATAATTAACCCTAAAACTCCATGCAATTAGAGTAGGTTTATTAAATTGCAAGAAAGCATTTATTTTGCAACAAAGCGCGCGTATTCGTTGTACTTTTGTATTCTACTTTTGACGTCCATTCTAATTATTTATAAGTACTTTTAAGAGTTAACTTACTAGTCAAAAAATAGGAACCTCGATTTATAGTCGCCTTGTGACTTGCCTTGAGGCGATGAGGCAATCGGCACTTATACAGTAAATTCCGTTTTCAATGAATTGGTTTGTCTACTGTCCTGGCGGTATTGTTATGTTTGATCAACCGAAAAACTCTATGCTTGGACCCCTGCCAGGAGTAAATCAGTCAAGGAAGTACTTACGTACCTTTCTCTGTCACAGGATCTTCTTTTTGTCCTTTTTCCTCTTCCCCATTTCTGGCAAAAAAAGATATGTATAAATCGCTTTCTCTGCCTTCTGGCTTTTACAGCGCGTTGAGGAGTTGCGTTACAAAGCGAGAAAAGTGACTTGAGATTCATATTACGTTGCCCTCAACACCATTCTTCTGAGCCCTGAGCCCTTTCCTCCGAGCCCTGATCCCAGTCATATTTTGGGCTTTGAGCCCTGAGCCCATATACCATGTTACGACCCTGCCATAAGACCATGACCAGTTGAGTTACGTCGAATGTTGTTAGATGCAGTGAGTTTAAGGCACCTATGATGTTGATAGGTCGTCGTGTGACGCAGTATAACTTAATCAAGGGCAAGAAAATCAGAGTTGCACATCTTATAACTTTTCTACTTTTGATCATTTGAGGCTATTCCCGCACAAGTCCGCTTAAACTTATAAACATATAGCACAAACTGTTGCGTTTACGCATTCCGTCCACCAACGATGGAACGCAAAAATCAGGACAAGAGCTCGTAGTGAAACTGTATTGACATTTCTGTTAGAAATCATGCATTGGGCGCCCAAACTACAGATTAGTCATCTGCTAGCAGATAACTAACTAATCTGTAGGTTAGGCTGATTTCCAAAATTAGCTGTTGGCTGTTAGCCAATGAGATGACAGATACTCAGTACATTATAAAATAAAAGCAGTTATGCGGACGTTAGTAGACACAGTAAACCGTTTTGCTTGGTCAGTAACCAACGGAAGCTCTGACCTCCGGGTTGTAGGGCTTATTATTTGTTTTTTTTTTTTTGTTGATGTTTTTTTGTTGTGTTTTTTAAGGTGAGTCAGTGGTGAAACATGACAAGAGACGGATACAAGAAGGTTCCTGATGAAGGCCACACAGAGAAAGTCACCTGTCTATCATTCATGTTCTTTCATTGGATGAACAATGTGCTCAAGACAGGCAATGAACGACCAATAGAGCAAAGTGACTTTTTGCCTCTTTCGGAAGAAAACACGTCCTCTTTTCTAACCGAACACCTTCAGAAAGAATGGAACAAGGAAAAAGCCAAGTGCAAGGGAAAGAAAAAACGACCAAGACTTTGGAAATGCGTTCTAAAACTGCTTCCTCTCAAAGAAGTGCTGATTCTAACCGTGAACTACGCTTTGTATTCTCTGTCACGCCTCCTGCAGCCATTGCTTCTAGGATTTTTTATGGTATCTCTGATGTCACCAGAATTACACTCGGTGTATCTTTTGTATGGTTGTGCATTAGGCATGGGTATCAATGCTTTGATTGGTTCGCTTGCCATGCACCACTTTGACTACAGAGGTGAAGTGTGGGGACTTCGATTTAGCAGCGCCCTCAAAGGACTAATTTACCTCAAGGTAAGGATAAATAAATAAATCAATAAATAATATAGGATATGACAGTCATTCCCGCCCTTCCCATTTTCTAAGGAAAAAAGCCCTGGGAACGAGGTTGGATTTTTTTCCCTACAAGGACCTCCACAAGAATAAACCTCTCCTTTAATGTGAATACTTCAGCAGCGATCTTAGCCGCAAGAAACCAAGCTTTATTCAATAACCTCCTGAATGATACGTATAAACAGAACATAAAATCCTTTATGTACGTATATAACTATAGATGTCTAAACTGAAAATTTCTTATTATCCACTTCCCAAAGGACTCTTTAGAGTTATTAATCACATTTGTTTGGGGGACTTTTTGCCAGACTACTTACGATCAGTGAAGTAGTAAGTTATGCCGGAATACCCCCTAATATGAATCTGAATTTGACATCGACACGACACCCACCAGGGATTCCGTCCCCGCATATATGTTACTAAAACGGAGAACTGAGAGACGGGAACGAGCACGGGGAACAGGAAAATGAAAAAATGGCAACAAAGTAGAGAACTGGAAATGAAGTTACTGATAGGGCTGAGGTTGCAGATAGGTTTTTTTCCCATCCTTCATTTTTGCCGTTTCCCGTGCTCGTTCCCCGCTCCCTGTTCCTTGTTTAGTAACATCTCTCCGTCCGCTGCTATTAAAGAAGAGTGTCAAGGTTTTTAGCGCCTGGGGCAGAGTCCTATCCTATTTGACCTTGGCAGGTACGTGCCGCTAAAGAGAGTTAGTGTCTTGAAGAGGGTGTCGTTTCTCGTCCCGAAGCCTTTAAAAGAGCGGGAATTAGGTTGGCGATGAGCGGTCTATATTTGTGGCACCAACAACAAAAATCAAATTCTATGATCGCAGTTTTTTAAACGTAATTCTGTATGCGAAATGAGCCAGGGTCATTTGATGAGCTCTCTTGTCTTAAACAGGGTAGCGAAAGACGATTTTTGTGCTACAAAAGGTCATTGTTTGAAGTCCTCAGCGACACTTGTACCCAAAACTCCTTGAGTGCCGCCCCAGGCTTTTACGTCCCACAAAATTTTTTTATGAGCAAAGGTGGTGAGGAACCTACCGTTTATGCCTTAACCAAGAAGACTGGTAACTCTAACACTTTGCAGATAACAAAGGTAGTACTTTCTCCTCAGGCATTTTAAAGCCCCGAGCGTTGATCCAGCTGAGTTGTGAACATGCGGCCTCCCTGTTCAGAGGACTTCTATTCTTTTTCATTGGAATTTTAAGGCAAATTTTTCACGCGCAGGGCTCCTGTCACGCGTCAGTGTTTAATTGCTAATCTTTTCGACCTTTTATAACAATCAGCTAACGTCTGGTAGTTTATTTCTTTTTCAGACACTCGTTCTCACGAAGAGTGCCTTGCTAAAGTTTTCAACTGGGCACGTGATCGATCTCATATCAAACGATGTGCAACGATTAGAAGAGGAGGCTTTCAAGTTACTATTCTCAATAGTTTTTACATTTTTCGAGGTCGCCGTAGTCACATTCTGGCTGGTGTACTTCATCGGCTGGCAGTCATTAATGGGCGTTATTTTCCTGGCTTGTCTTTCTCCATATTACGCTCTGCTGTCCGCTGCTGGCTCTAAGTTGCGCCTGCGCACAGCCGGGGTTTCTGACCAGCGACTCTCGTGGATGAACCAGGTAGTTTCTGGGATTCGCGCCATCAAAACAAATGCATGGGAGAAGGAATACCGAGATAGCATTAAAAGTACACGAAGGTAGGAAAAACACAATAGACCTTTAGCTGGTAAGTTTTGTTTTCCCAATTCAGACCACGTAATGTTCTTGAGGAAATTTACCTTGTCTTTTCATAAATCATGTACAAATATGCATGGTCATCTGCTACACAAAAGTACGTGGCTTTTGTACTAAAAGACAACACCCTTAAGAACCAATGAGTTCCTCCTTAGACCTTTCTATGCTACGCAAAATCTATGTATGTAACATAAAGAATGAAGTAGCCTCAGAACTGACAGCAGACATTTCGTGCGCGACGACACCACTGGGTTTCCTGCGAAATGACGTCCGAGGAACGAGCGCAGAGATTCCATACTAATGAAGTGTAACTAGTCAGATCTGGGTAGTGTCTGATTGGTTGAAGCAAAATTTCCCACACGGCGCGACCAATCAGAAACACTATCCAGATCTGGGGTCAATTTCATAAAACTATTACAAGTGTAATTTACAAGTGTGGCTATTGTTCTCATACTCTAAAACAATAGCCAAATTACACTTGTAAAAGTTTTATTAAACTGGCTCCAGGATAGCGACAAGTCATCAGTGGAGAATTTATGCGCTCATTTCAGAGACTTTATTTCGCGTAAAAACAACTAGTGGCATCGCGAAGTGTCAGCAGTTTTCTCAGGCTAAGAATGAAGCGCGTCTTTTAAAAATCAATATTTTATTTTCAGCCGTGAAATAAGTATTATCCGAAAGAAGAGCATCATTTTGACAAGCTTTGCTGCCTTGGACATGGCTTCAGTGCCAATGGCTGCACTTGTGTCTGTTATCGCAATGGTATTAACTGGGAAACATCTGACACCAGTTAATGTTTTCATGCTTATCTCTTTCATCTATGTATCAAGAGTCACCTGTTCAATTTTACTGGCCAGTGGTTTGCAAGACACATATGACGCGTATGTTTCACTTAACAGAATAGAATATTTTCTTCTGTTACAAGACCCACCCACGGGCACCGCTCCAGCTCTTCAGTTCGCGGATCCCATAAGAAACATGGAGGGGTCCGCAGCGATGTTGAAGAGTTCTTCATGGCAGCATAAGGAAGAAATGAGAGAAAACGAAGAAGATGGCATTGATGAACATAAAACCCGTGACACGATGGATACTTTGACTTTGTCAAGATTAAGTTATGAACAGTCAAAGCGAAAAGACGAATTTATTCTACAAGATATCGAATTTAAGGCAGCTTCAGGGAGCTTAACAGTCATTACCGGGCCAGTAGGTAGCGGAAAGTCTACCCTTCTCTCAGCAATCGCTGGCGAGGTACCGGACAAACAGGGGAACGTAATCTGCAGAGGGGCTCTTGTTTACGCACCTCAGATAGCTTGGGTATTCTCGGGAACAATTAGAGAAAACGTTTTGTTTGGCGAACCATACAATGAATCCAAGTACAAAAGAGTTATTGAAGCTTGTTCGCTGAGAGAAGACATTCATCAGTTTCCTGATTGTGATGAAACGGTGGTTGGAGAACGCGGTGAATTGTTGAGTGGCGGTCAGCGGGCCCGAGTAAGCTTGGCACGCGCAGTCTACGCTGATGTGGACCTTTACTTGTTCGATGACCCCTTAAGCGCTGTAGATGTCAAGGTTGGTCAACATATTTTTGAAAAATGCTTCAAAAACCTGCTGGGTCAAAAAACCCGTGTGATTGCGTCCCACCAAGAGCAGCTTATGGAAGAGGCTGATAATATCATTGTGTTGTATAAAGGCCGTGTTTTGGGTGAAGGAAGCTTTAATGAGCTAAAAGAAAGAGGAATTCTGAATGAAACTATTGATCCACTCTATACCATGAAAGCAAGCAGTGGCAAGTCAGATCACCACCTTGATGAATGTAATAATGAGGACGATGGTGCATGGGACAAACCTTTCCCACCCCAGGTCAAAAACGAGGCAAAGGGTCTACAGATATCGGAAGAAGATCGCATGATCGGAGTCGTGTCATCCAAGCTTTACTGGAATTACTTCAGAAGCGGGTTGAATTCACTGGCGATAATTTCATTATTCCTACTTCTTCTCATCTCTCAAGGTAAGCGACAGTTTTACAGGTTTAGAGAACGGATTGTATAAACAAAAAGCCCCGACACGTCATATATTTTCATCAATATAATGGTGAGTTAAGTACAAACCTGCTGGAAACTACGCTCTCCTGGATAGACGACGGGAAGAGAAACCTGCGCTACTAAGTTGCAATATACGCTTTCGTGAGAGCACTGTACGCATGCGCACATTATCACCCCTTACATTATCCGCTGACGCCCCCTAAGAATATCCAGTTTGCATAACCGAGTCTTTCAAACGCAGCTTGTAAACTACGTTTCATCCGCCCCGATTCTCTTAAAAAATATCAATAACAATAACAGTAACTATAATAACAATAACGATAATGATAATAATAAAATACTGATAGTAATAGTAGTAATAACAATGACAATGATAATAATAAGGAAGAAGAAGGAAATTAAAAAGAATTTTCCCTAGGAGGAATCATTCGAAATCATGGAAGAGAAATGATGATGGGAAAACGGACAATCAGGCGTCAGGTTAACTGATGAATATGAAAGTCAGTTATAAAGTGAAAAGTCCATCCACTGAAATCACACAAACTCTTACGTAGCGCCGAGATAATTGTTGTTTTACTTCTCAAGCCCTTTTGCTTTTCTAACTTGACGTTGTCGTCGCCGTCGCAGTTGTTTTAAACTGTTTTTGTCTCATTCTTTTCACAGCATTGCTAGTTTCTCCTGACGTATGGCTGTCTATTTTGACACAGAAAAGTCCAGACGATCAGCGTAACAAGACAAATATAACCATTTACGGTTGTCTGGTCACCGCAGCCTTCATATTTGCCATCATCCGAGCGCAGGTATTCCACCTGGCTTCATTGAGATGCTCAGAACGTCTCCACGACAAAATGGTTGTGGCTGTTCTACAAGCCCCGGTGCTCTTCTTTGACTCCAATCCCGTGGGGAGAATCATGAATCGTTTCTCTAGAGATATAGGTTGTTTGGACGAATTACTGCCTAAAACGTTTCTGCTCTCCATTCAGTATGCTTTGATGGTGTCGACAGCAATTCTTGTGCCAGCTGCAACGAATCCTTGGCTTCTACTGGTTTTCGTACCCGCCACTTTCCTAGCTGTCTACATTACCAGCTACTACTTGAAGACATCTAGGGAACTGAAAAGACTGGAATCCATTTGTCGCAGTCCGGTTTTCTCTCACGTTTCAGAGACCCTGAATGGACTGGACACGATTCGGACAAGGAAAAGACAAGATGACTTTGTGGATCGGTTTCATGGGTGTGTTGAAATCTTTTATTTTTTCATTTTTGCATGATATAGTGATTACAGACAAACACCTCGGGAAAACGGACACCTATAGAGTTGATCTATGCCGCTCTTTACTCCCAGGGTTTGTGACATCACTCTGAGACGGACCCAACGGTGTCCGTCTTCGGAGAGTCACGGCTATCCCAGAAAATATCACTTCTTTCTACTCTCAAGCGCGATTACTCAAATGGTTTGAAGGTTAGGTTGCCTTTTTCGAGTTTATAATGAGACACGTTAAATTGAACCAAAATCCTTTTTTGACAGACAAGAAACTCTCAGCAGATGATTCTTCAAGTTACTATGGCATACACACACTCAATGATATTGGCTGTTTTAAGCAATCTGACTGGTTCGCTAACTAGGAAAATTGAGCATCATTCACTACCTAGCGAGTGGAAAATACATGATCTTCAAAACAGAAACAAAAGGAATTGAATGAAAGAAGATCAGAAACAAGTTAAGAAGCTTTTAACCGTTTTATGATGACGTTAAGATAAATAAGTGTGTTCTACTTTTCAAGGCATTGCAAGGCGAATCGCGCATGTCTATCAATGATCTCCGCCGTACAAGCCTGAAATTTTTTTTTTCAGGCTTTCTTTTCGCAACTGCAAAAGTTGCGTATACAGCTATTTTCAGAAAGGTTGTTGGAAAAAGTGTGCTCGCAACAATCCCGAAAGGTAATATGGGATATGATCGATACACTGTTGCTGGCGACTGTAGCTGTCGAACCTACTTTTGTTGCTTTCCTTTAGCACTCGCAAACACATTTCCATGGCCTTTCGTGCCAATTCTTTCAAATTTCTCTGAAGAACAGTGAACTTAAAAACCACTCACAATGCCTTTCGGGATTGTCGCGTGCACTTTTTCCGACAACCTTTCTCGAAACAGCTGTATAACTGCTATGATCATCCTTCATTTAATTCTTCACTCCGCATTTCAAGTATATGATTTTCATATATTCAAAACTTGATCTCTTAACTGTTACTAACAAATCAATGCACCGTAGAGAGACGAGACATGGCCAGTATAATTCGTATGCCCAACGTTTCGACACATCACCAAAGCGGGAAGGTCTTTTAGCGTCAGTAGCATACGGTTGTGGAACAGTCTGCCTGATGATATTAAAAGGAAAAACAGTCTTTCATCTTTTAAGAATGCTTTGATAGCTTATTTTAGAGATTCTTATATTAATATTGATAATTTTGAAGCCTTATTGTAAATATATCTTTGTACTTTTAGGTTAGTTAATTTAGTTGAAGGCCAGTGGCTTATCACCTTCTGCTGTTATGTGATAACTTATTTTAATGATTCTTATATTGATATTACCAATTTTTAAGCACTATTGTAAATATATCTGTAATTTTTAGGTTAGTTAGTTTAGTTGGAGGGTCACTGGTTTATCAGCTTCTGCTGTTTATGTGTTTACCCTCATTTTAAGATAAAGTTGATTGTTATTAGACTTTAAGTATAAATAAAAACCACAGGCCAAACAACCTCTGATGAGGGAGTCATTTTGCGAAATAACTTCCCTACCGTCGGCTAGAAAGGGGCAAATTCGAAATCATCTTGCATTCTCATGAAGAAAACAAGAATTGCTTTGGGAATATAATAAAATTTCTTTTCTTTTACTTCCTCAGGTATCAAGATGTATACAGTCAGGTATATATTATGGTGAAGGCGAGTGCTCGGTGGCTTGGTGTTCATATGGATCTTCTCTCTGCTATATTAATTGGCACAGTGGCAGTAGCTGCCGCTTTGGTTTCTCAAGATGCTGGTACGTGAACCAATATCCAGTCATAACATTGTTTCAACATTGTGAAAGAGAACTTTAAGTTAAATACGCTTTTTCGCGTTCTTATATACAGAGGAATCTCGATTTTTCGAACCACCTTTGGAATAGCGTTGAAATTGGTTTAATTGGGCCTTGTCCGGTCCACATAAAATCAATTTGAGCCTTGCTCCGCTACTCCCTTGAATACCGAAAAACCCAAACTTAAGAGAAATGAAAGGTTTTTCTCTTTTGGCTTATTATAAAGCTGAATTTTGCAAAACGGAAACAAAATCGAAATTATTTTTAACCAAATTGAACCATTTTCAACAATCACAAGGCCAAGTAAACAAAAGCAAAACAAATGTTTCTCTTCCCGCCCACTTCATTTTTTGGGTCCGCCTCTCTTTTTTATTATTTGTTTATGCCAAAAGAGGAGATACAAGCCAAAGAAAAAAACCAAGAAACTTTCAGGCAGGCTAAATGATAAAGCCAAGCATTCATTACACACTGCGTCCTATTCACGTTTTTAATGCAACCTACATAACGAGATATAAGGTACGACACATCACGTTGCTGTTTAAAACTTGTACCCTATAAACCAAATTTGTGTTTTAGCAATATCTGACGTTTCATTCAATCCCGACATTAATATTTGTCCGAAGAACTCCATCTTATCCCTGGGAGAAGGCAATAATAATTTGTAAAGAAAGCATTAAATTTAAAAGTAAATAAAAGTCAGAAATAACAAAAAAGATCCCGCCTGCTCTCTTTTTTGAAGAAAGCCAGACGAGAAACAGTTGCCGCTTTTTTTTTTTTTGCTTGGCCTAACAAGAACAAAAACAACTATTAACAGTAGCAGTATTTAGTACGGTTTTTATTACCAAAAGCGGTAGGACGCAAAATTAATAAGGTCAGCTGTAACAAAAACTGATAAACACGTTAAATATTCTTTTTCTTTTCCAATTAGCATTTGCTGGTCTAGCCCTTGTTTACGTTATACAAACTTCAGTTGTCACACAATACGCCGTCAGGAAAGCTTCAGAAGTCGAGAATTTAATGACATCAGTTGAACGAGTTATCACGTATACCAAACTTGGGTCTGAGCCTGGATACAAAGTGAAACGACGTCCCCCGAAAAATTGGCCAAGTGAAGGAAATATCACATTCCATGACGTATCACTGACGTATTATCCGGGGGGTCCTCAAGTACTGAAGAAAATCAATCTCACAATCAAAGGAGGAGAAAAGATTGGTATCGCTGGTCGAACGGGCGCAGGAAAATCTTCATTTGTCGCTTCTCTAATGCGCATGCCCGAAGCCGATGGAGGGATAACGGTCGATGAAGTTCGAATAAAGGACATAAACCTCTGCGAAACACAACGCTCAATATCAATTCTAGGCCAAAGTCCTGTTCTTTTTAGCGGATCACTCAGAAAAAACCTTGATCTTATGGAGCAGTTTCCAGACGCAGAATTGTGGTGCGCTCTGGAAGATGTACAGCTGAAAGATTTAGTGGAAAGCCTAGAGGGGCAGCTGAATCATGAGTTATTGGAGTACGGGGGAAATGTCAGTGTAGGAGAACGCCAACTGATCTGTTTAGCTCGATTGTTGCTACAGCAGAACAAGATCATTATCTTGGATGAGCCAACCGCACACGTTGATCCAGACACAGAACAAACCATCTGGAAGGTGGTTCATGAGAAGCTGAAGGACTCCACAATCATCACTATAGCTCATCGTTTAAACACGATAAGAGACTGTGACAGGATACTGGTATTAAAGGACGGACAAGTTAAGGAATTCGACGGGTTTGATAGGTTATTGAATACAAAAGGAAGCGTCCTGCGAGAAATGGTTGAAAAGCTAGGAGTGTGATTTGCACTTTTACCATTAGGTATCATCAGTGCGAATGTTGGTAATGCGAAAAATATTGGATTAAGAAACCACGGGAACGGGAGATAACGCGGTTAATTTTTTTAGTACGATCGCAGCCAATATTGTAAAACAATATACAGCGGGTTTTCTAATATGTAGCCGTTTTATAGCTACATATTTGGTACAAATAAGAAACTCCGAAATTTTTACCTGAAATGGCTCCGGCTTTCAGGTAGAACTTAGACGCGCGTATGATATGATCAAGAGCTTCGATTTTGTCCGGGATTGATTGTTGGGGCCGTTTTCTAATAAAGCAAGGGTGAAAGGAAATCTGGACGAGTGTTTCTCTGAAGGGAAATAATCAACACCCAAAAGTACCCTTTCTTTCTTTTTACAAAAACAGTTTTCATCAGCGCATAGTTGAAATACACATTGTTACTTAATTACGTAATGTGATTTATCAATCTGTACTATTGGAAAAAATGTTATTTATTACAAAATCATCGACTTTAAAGTTCATTTTATCTCTTTATGCACATTCAAAATATCTCAAAATGGACACCATCATTTCAATAAAAAAAAACCTTGCAGTCTTGTACATTTCCTCTGTACAAGGGAGTTACTAGACTTACTAGAAGGTCAACGCATAACCTCCCTGCAAGAAACAGGTTCAACATGAGCTCAGCAAAGAGTTTAAATTAGCAGACCGCACCCAGCTATGGCTGAGAAAACAGTCAGAATGGTGCTGAGCAAGGTAAGTTCAGTTTGTCCAAAAAGGCACTTGAAAAACAAGGAGATTCTCCTTCATAACATACGACAAAAATCCTTAATAACAATACCAACATAATGTTCTAAGAAATCAGTATCGCCAGAAAAACACTAGCCTGGGAAAAACAGACAACATTTCGCGACGTCACGCCTGGTTTCCCCGCGAAATCACGTCTGAGAAACGAGCAAAGAAAGTCCACATTGATAACACGTTAGTACTTCTGATTGGTCGTGACACAACATCAGTACGGAGGCTCAGTTCTCATTTTGCACTAGAACAGCAACTGGTTTTTTAGCTACTTTCAAAGTTTTATTTATTTTTTAAGAAGTCATTTTTAAGTAGGGTAACCCCCTTTTTCGTCCCTTTTCGTTTTCATTCAGCCGGGATAAGTTCGTCCCCAGACTCCTCTCATTTTGTACGTCATCATGCTGACGATTGCCTATGGCGTGAGCAGCAAAAAAATTGTTTTTGCTACTTTTTGTGGGCCAGTCGTCGATGAATCGTAATTTACGACACACTTGTTAAACCTACGAGGCCAATAATAGACTACAAAACGAAGTAAGTTATCTCAAGCTCCTCGCGATTAATCCAACTCGCTCAGATTATAGTTGACCAGTAGCTGAAAAGGGGTAACTTTTGAAGCTATAGTGGCTCGGCAATGGATATGAAGAGTAATGCAAGCCAAGACTTAGGTCTAAAAATAAACTTATGTGTCTGTATATTTAGTGGCTTGTGGAGTGGTTGCCAACCAGGACCTGTTTTGTTGTTTGTTCCAAAGTGGGGCTGTATTCATATAGATACTTACTTGCGTCTCCCCTTTTTTTTGTGAAGGTTTAGTGGCATTACAAAGAAGACACTTGAAAATGTTACTACAACATTAGATGATGTCCAAAAATGTTTGATCGATCTTCTGTCACATGATGCAATTTTGATCGGACATTCCTTGGAAAATGATCTGCGAGCCTTGAACTTGAGTTCGTTTCACAGATTAGTGTCAACTGTTGCCCGGCGTTTTGCATGATTGCTAACTACACGTCAGCAGAAGAACTTCGTAAAAGTGTCTGTCATCTTTGTTTTTTTTATTTGCTTGTTAAGTAGTGTTTGTGTTTAGTAATTTAATATGACACATGTAGTCAAAATATTTACCAATGTAAGTTTGTTAACTCTAGACGACAGAAAATGAAAAATTTTTCATCTTAAGGACGATAATGGCAAAATATGGGTGAAAGTGATCCAGTAGTAGCCGTGGATGTCCTCACAATAAAGAAGAGTTACGTAAATCTTGTCCAAACTTTTTCGCCGTTTCATCCTCGCGAATTGTCCGCAGCGGCCAAGAGCGAGGAGAAACGGATGTTTTCGCAGGCTAGTCGAAACTCGAAATGTACATTTTGCATGACTATTAAATCATCGTCTAGTTTTGATCAGTCGACCGCGATTACTCGCATTGTCAATTTTATCATTTGTTTGCCCCCTGAGATACCACGTGACAAAGCTTTTATCCCATCAATTCTAGATCGTGTACAAAGGTGGCGTGTACCGTCAATAAGGTCCATTACCGTAAGAGGGTAAACGCGTTAGCTACCATGGACAGTAGGGCCATTGGCGAGAGAAGTAGTATCCGTCTAGATGTTAAAACGGGACGATGTTAAATTTAGATGGATAATTCGAAACTAAAAAGGGTGCGTTGCATTCTGGGAAGAAAAACATGCCTCAAAGTGCTAGTAATGGTAAGAAAGAGAAGGAATGGGTCCAAAAAGGTTAAATCATAAAGAAACTAAAAAACGTGACCATTATTTCACCAAGAAAAGTTTCTCTCTTTATCCATTCGTATTGGATTTCTAAAACGCAACTTATGTAAGATGCGTCCAATTTCCCTGGAAAAAAATAGCCTTATTGAAGCCTTCAATCTTTAAGGTATTCTTATTTCATCTGTCAAGATATTCTTTGATTGTATACAAATCATTGTATTTCTCTAATGTTTACCTTACATTTATTTATTTCTAGCTGCATCACAGACGTGTGATTGACACTTCAGTCTTATATGACAGTACTAGTGGTCCTTTATTTAAATCTTCACTCAAATGTCTCACTAAACAGTTTCTGAAGTAAGCGTTCAATCGCGTGCGTACTTTCCACATTTTCCCAAGGGCAGCTTAGTAATTCCCAGTTTGTGTAGTGGCAATATTCATTTGTAATCTTTGGCCTGCACTTCAGTATTTCTTGCGATGTAATTGAAACTTTTTCTGTGTACAGTAAAAAGATTCAAAGTGGATCAGATGGCCATTGTTCAATCGAAGATGCTAAAGCTTGCATGGAGTTGGTTCAGCTGAAAATTAAAAATGGTAAATTTGTTTACTTTATCTTCACAAGAGAACAGATTTCTGACTCCGCGCTGTGTGTTACAAGACTCGAAAATCCATCTTTTAGAGCAGGTGTAGTATTATACTACACTAAGTCAGTCGTCGAGTGGACATACCAAATGTGCTTGAGAGGCCCGGAGGGAACATACGCCCGGTAAAGCGTTTCATATTTTCTTAATTCTACTATTTTTCCTTGCCTTTTAACGTTATTCCTTGTTTGTTTGTTTTTTAGGTCCAAACTTAAGAAAACCGTTAATGAATAAAGAAGGGTATGCAAACTTGGTTCAAAATATTCACGTAAAGATAATTCCATCAGTTATTTGTCAGAAAAAGGAGACCCGGCCTGTAAACACTTGCTTATGAAGCTTAATTCATGAGACAAAGTTCTCTTCGACTTCAACTTCAACTTTATTCATTCACTTTCAATTTATAATTACACGATAGCTTCCACCCGCGTATAGGAGAGCCTAATCGAGGCGGGGGAAGAGACACACAAATTTAAAGAAAGAAAAGAAAAAAAAGAACTATTTTACAAACAGTACCAGCTGTCGCAAAATAAAAACTATAGTATGTATTAAGCTAATTTAATTGCATTATGATTTACACAGAGAATATAAATTTAGTTGTGTTCCTGAGCTAGTTAAATTTAAGTTGATGCATGATTTCAGTGATTTCAAGATAGTCATTGGATTTAGATAAAATTTCAAAGAGCTTATTCCTTATCTTTTTCCGAAAGGTAGATTTTGGTAAGTTTCTCATATCTGAGGGTAAAGAATTCCAGAGTTTTGGTCCAACTCTTAGAAAAGAACTACGCATTTTTTCAAGCCTTGAGTGTTCGGTATAGAAATCATCATTGAGAGAAGATCGGGTAGGATATGAGTGCACCTCAGAAATCCTAGTAAAGGCCCTCTTGATATTTTCAGGTACAGAATTGTTAGCAACGTCCCACATGATACTACAAAGACAATCAAAGTAAATAAACAAAGACTTTTGATTTTAAGAAAAATGGTACAGCATGTTGCTTATAATCCGTAAAGTAAATCAGGCGTAGGGCTCGTTTTTGAATTAAGAGTATCTTATTTAAACAAGGTTTAGGTGCAGAGCCCCAAGCACAGATGCCATAATAAAGATAGGGGTTGATAAGGGCTTGATAGATATTTAAGAGGTGATAGATATTTAAGAGGTTTTTTAGTATACGATAGTAGTAATAGGGGCTACTATAGGTCCTAGCCAATCAGAGCGCAGCAAAGTTTCTCTCGACCAATCAGCATCGCGCATTTGGCCCATGTGACTTAGGTGACGTCACAATGCCCATATATGGTCATAAAATTCACGTGACCCCATAGGAATAAAGAACACGCACACACAAGAGTTGAACTCACATTCTTGGCATAGTTTTAATGAACCGCGTGAAACCCTGGTGACAAGCGGGACGTGTGTGACACCCTAGTGATATCACGCCCATTACAAATCTAATAGCAAGTCAAGTTCATCTCCAATCCTCTCATAGCCATAGGGATAACTGGAACGAGTGGCGACCTCAATGACACGCTTGTCAAACACCAACCCATACTGCTTTACGCGCGGAACCACTTGAATTTGTTTCTGTTCTAAATCTCGTTTAAAATAATAAGGGTTGGTGATATTCAAATTGCGTCGAGACTCCTGGGGCGAATCTAGTTCCGACAGAATGTTCTCTTTCATGGTCTGAAAATTGAGAATGGCGGATCCACGGACGTTGAGCGTGAAACCGCGGACCTTGCACACGACTTTACCACCACGGGTCTGGTACCCATAATTCTTGGCGCCCCCCGAAACAAACTCGGTGATAACGTCTCCCTCCAATTCATCGGTCATGTCCCCGAGAAAAT